CTGATCACCATATACTTCTGTCAACAAATTGTAAGTTTCAGTGGCAGATTTTCCAAGTTTTGTGAGGAATTTGATGTTAGCACGTTGTTCTGCATTAGCACTCAGCATTATTCCGACGGAGCTCAGAAACACGATCCGCTTCTAACAATGGTCGCGGCCAGACTAACCGATGCACGTGAATGAAACTTTGTGTGACGGTAGAGGGAAGTCCAAGGGTCAATGCCCTACCCTCCTCTTCGTCAATGACGTGGCCGGAAATGAGTCATAGAAGTAATCCGGGTTCTTTATTGCCACACCTTGTATTTGTTCATTGTATCAGGGTGGACGTGTCTATTGAACTGTTGCTATGCTATTCATCTTTTTGAGGCCTTTTATATATATATATATATGTAGTTTCAGAGATTTTGCTGGACCATATGCAGCCTTTCCACTATTAATTAGATGCCTGTCCAGCCTTACAAATGCATAATTCTATTTAATTTGGAATTTGTTAAACAGTGGCAGTGCAGCTTAACTTCTGTTGAATCAGAAACCTCCATGCATGCTGATGGACTCAGACGCACACCACACATGGGGGTGTGCTCTCTCTGTCCCTTCCTCCCCTCCCTGTTACCACTCTCATGCCTATCAATTTAACATCTCACTGTACTGGGGCTTCAGAATCTTCCTATTATGATTTTTCATGTTATTTACTCTCATTTTCCAGGGTAATTTGAATGAACTTCAACCCATACATGGTGAGGAGCCACGATATTCCTGTAATGAATGTGGTGATTCATTCAGTCAAGAGCAAATTCTAATAGCACATCGATGCATACATAGTGGGGAGTGGCCATTTTGTTGCAGCAGGTGTAGTAAGTCATTCAGCTGTAAGAGTCGTCTAAGGAAGCATCAGCGCATACATAGTGGGGAGAGGCCATTTATATGTGATGTATGTAATAAGTCATTCATTTTGAGGAGTGTTCTGAAGAGGCACGTGCACATACATAGTGGCGAGAAGCCATTTAGCTGTGATGAATGTAATAAGTCATTCAGTCAGCGGAGCCATCTGAAAAGACATCAGAGCATACATAGTGGGGAGCAACCATTTTGCTGTGATGTATGTAATAAGTCATTCAGTCACCAGAGTCATCTGAAAAGACATCAGGCCATACATACTGGGGAGCAACCATTTTGCTGTGATGTATGTAATAAGTCATTCAGTCACCAGAGTCATCTGAAAAGACATCAGGCCATACATACTGGGGAGCAACCATTTTGCTGTGATGTATGTAATAAGTCATTCAGTCAGCAGAGCAGTCTGAAGAGACATCAGCGCATACATAGTGGGGAGAAGCCATTTTGTTGTGATGTATGTAATAAGTCATTCAGTCACCAGAGTCATCTGAAAAGACATCAGGCCATACATACTGGGGAGCAACCATTTTGCTGTGATGTATGTAATAAGTCGTTCAGTCAGCGGAGCCACCTGAAGAGACATCAGTGCAAACATAGGGGGGAGAAGCCATTTTGTTGTGATGTATGTAATAAGTCATTCGGTCGGCAGAGTCATCTGAAGAGACATAAGCGCATACATGTTGATGTATGCAGTAAATCATAGACCAGCAGTGATGGGTGTAGACTAAAGGAACAGTATGTGACTTGTAGCATGCCACAGTTTTCCTGTTGTATGTAAGACAGTTTTGCTGTTTGTGGCATGCTACAATACAGGGTTTGTCCGAAAAGTAATGTCAGTGATTTTATTGTGAAGTGACTATACGTCGCAGCGTGCTCAGACTGGTTGGGATCGGTGGAGGGGGAAGTCAGCTTATGAACGCGCGGTCGCTTAGTCATCTCCGAACTTCCTGAGAGTGGCAAAAGGATTTTCTATGAAACTCGTTTTTGTCTCCCGTGCAAACCGCAATGCAGCGCTCCTTGGAACAAGGGATTGCCATCAAGTTTTGTGTGAAACTTGGCAAGTCTGCAGTGGAAACTTTTCCTATGATAAAGACGGCCTTTGGTGATGATTGTTTGTCAGAACGTCAGGCCTGCCGGTGGCACAAGGCCTTTTTAGAAGACCGTGAAGAGATCGGCGATGAAGCCTGCGCTGGACGGCCATCAACAAGCACCACCGACAAAAATGTGATGTGTGTGAGAGAACTTTTGAACTCAGACCGTCATTTGAGGGTTCATTTAATGGCACAGACATTAAACGTTCCAAAAAGTACAGTTCACGAGACTGACGAACAATTTGCAGATGCGAAAAGTGTGCGCAAAGCTGGTGCCCAAAGTGTTAACGGATGACCAAAAATCGCGCAGAGTTGAAACGTGCGAAGAACTTTTGGACTTGTGTGAAAGTGACCCTCACTTTTTAGACAATGTCATCACAGGTGACGGGACTTGGGTGTTTGAGTACGACCCCCAAAACAAAAAGGCAAAGTGTCGAGTGGCACACCTCGGCATCCCCTCGCCCCAAGAAGGCCAGAATGAGCAAATCAAAGGTTAAGGTCATGCTCATTGTGTTCTTTGATATCAGGGGGCTCGTCCACCATGAGTTTGTACCACATGGTACAATCATTAACGCCAAATTCTACGTGGAAGTGCTAAAGAGACTCAAACAAAGGGTTTATCGCATCCGGCCCGACATCGCGGACGATTGGAAACTTCACCATGACAATGCGCCAGCCCACACCGCCTTTCTTGTGACCTGCTTCCTGACCGATTCAAAGGTGCCAATGGTTCCCCAGCCGCCCTACAGTCCTGACGTGGCTCCCCCAGACTTCTTTTTGTTTCCGCACTTGAAAACTCCCTTGAAAGGACATCATTTTGGAACAGTTGACAAAGTCAAAGAGGCTTGCACCAAGGCTCTAAAGGACATTCTGGAGGAGGCCTACCATGACGCCTTCGATGCCTGGAAATCTCGCTGGAAGCAATGTATCGACGCAGTAGGAGCCTATTTTGAAGCCTTTTAATGTGTTGTACCTATTTAATCAATAAATGTTTTTTAATCGACTCACTGACATTACTTTTTGGACAAACCCTGTATGTTTGAGTTGATTGTTGTTGCTAACCTTTCAAACTGACGGGAAATGAACTGAGTCCCATGGTACAAAACATCTGTGCAAATGAGTTCCATTTGATTCTGATTGCTGAATGTGTACAAGACCCTGTCTTGTTGAGTGGAAACAGACATGACATGACATGACATTCTCCTACAGTTATGATGTTAACCTTTAAGAGACAAGCCATTCAAATTCCGGTAATGGCCGCGGGCCGGAGTTAATTTAAATGCCCGCCATTGTAGAGTAATAAAAATTGTAATCATGTTACTAAAAATGCTGTGATTTCTGCAATTTTTGTGATGAACGAAATAAATGCTGCTTTTGTCTAGAAAGAATATAGAATCTGATATTGTAATTTACAGATTTTAGAATCTGTAAAAATTGTTACACTGATTCCAAAAAAAAAATCCCTCAATTTTGAATGTGTCCAGAAATATGCATACAGTTTCTGCTGTACATATGCCTGCTGCTGACATCATTCGTACTCTCGTACCATCTTATCTGCAAGTGGGTTGGAAGCTTCTGTTTATAAAACACATTCCAAGTACTGGACCCTCTTTGTATACAAAAGTGTGGGCGAAGCTATGAAGCTATCATATTCTGTCCTTGACACACTCAGACTGTTTATATCTGAGACGAGACACACACAGATTCTCCGAACTGTACAAACAGTACTGCCAGAACTTCCAATCGTAGTGCGTGGTGTAGTTGAATAAGACATCCAGCATGGCCTCGTATCGTTTGGAAGAAGATGAAATTGAGACCCAACAGCTCAATGATACAGATTCTGACTGTGCTACAGACGACTCAGATAGCAGCGAGGAAGAAATAGATTCAGAAATTGAAGCCGACGAAGACCCATCATCTTCGTCGGCAACCTGGGGACCACCACACCAGCATGGCAGGAGGCGTGTGAATAATTATTCCGGTGGAGCTATGGGGTTAAATATCAATGAAGCTCCACACGTAAATAGGGATTCCACCCCTTTCTGCGTTTTCATGCTCTGCTTCGCAGGGATTATCCGTCTGCTGGTGGAAGAGACGAATAGGTACTACCACCAGTACCTAGACAAACTTCAAGACGGGCGTTCTCCGCAGCTTGACGTGACCGATTCCGAGATGTTTCAGTTTCTAGGAATAATCATTCAAATGGGACATGACATTAGAGACAGACTAAAGGACTACTGGCAGATTGCAGAACAGTTTGCCACGCCTTTCTACTCTAACACAGTGAAACGCGACTATTTTGTACACATTCTTCATTTTGCAGACAACAGTACGGAAACTGACAGGAATGCCAACAATTATGACTGACTATGGAAAATTCGGACCATCTTCAACACTCTGAATGATGCATATGAAAAATATTATAACCCTTCCGAACATTTGGCCATAGACAAGATAATTGTTAAATTCAAAAGGAGGGTGGTTTTTAGGCAGTACATTCCTAAGAAACATGAACGTTTCGGAATCAAAATCTTCAAAATTTGTGATGCCGCTGGGTATACTTATGACATGAAGGTTTATCTAGGAAAAGAGAGAACACGTGCCGACCAAGATGTGACAGCGACACATGCTACGGTTAGGGACCTATGCAGATGTATTGAGGGCATAGGTCACAAACTGTTGAGCCATGCACTGGCTTCAGTATGACGTCATGGGTTTCCAGCCCCTTGATCGAGGTTCTTAAAATTATCCCCCACCCCCTCTCCATGTGGCACTGGGTCACGTGGTGTTGCCCTCTCCCCTCCTTTCTACCCCTGGGAGCCTAGCTTGGAAGTTAATTCGAGTTCAGAGTTCAGTTCTGGTTATGGATCCATAGGGCCTTGCTTGCGGCGCCGAGCCAGCCAGAGTGATTGTCAAATTCCTGTTCGGCTGGGAGTCCAAAATTGGTTTCGGCAAGTAGTGGGCTGGTTCACGGCCGGCGAGATCGCCCGCGGTCACCCGTTGTTGGGTTTGTAGTACGGCGGCGACTCGTACCAGTTTAATTAAACGTGTTTATAATTTATATTGTGTATTTGGTTTAGACTCAGCCTGTGGCCCGGCTAGAAAATAGTAGTTATGTTTTCATGCAACCAAGGCAAATTGTGGCACCAGTAAATATGGGCCATTCTGCCCAAGTTAGATGCCGCTGTGTGCGAGCATGTAAATGTGCAATTAGTTGAGTTGTTCTGTTTAATTTCTTGGGCTCGTGCACTGTAACGACGATGAATTCTTGTCTTTGTTTATGTGTTAGTTGTGTTTATTAAATTCTGTTATTTGTTATTATATTGATTGCCATCATTTGTAACTAGATTTACCACACTGCTAACTTGGATCCCTTACTCTAACTTAGGGAGCATGCGAGCACAGCACGAGAGCCGTATGATGGAGCACCGTTTCCCCCTCCGATTGAGGAAGGGTAGACGGAGCCGAAAGGTGCCAGAGAGTGACGGTGCTGTGGTAGCAGACCGTAAGGTGGTACAAGTGGTAGCAGAGCGTGGTTGGCACACTGTACATGGACAATTTCTTTTCGTCACCAGACTTGTTTGAGGAACTGATGACAAAGGACATAACATGCTGTGGGACAGTCAGACCTAATCGGAAGGGCTTGCCTGACGATTTTCGACGAAGACAATTTCAACTGAAGAAATGTGACATTCGTGTTAGGGTGAGACAGAACTTGACAGCATTAGTTTGGAAGGACAAACGTGACGTTTACATACTGACAAACATGCACTGTCCTCCAGCAGAAGGCAGTTTCTGTGATGAGCATGGAAATGCCATCAAGCCAGCAATCGTTGCCGACTACAACACGCACATGGGTTATGTCGACAAAGCAGACAGAATGGCAGTCAGTTATAGCATCAGTCGTCGGACCTGGAAATCGACAAACTATTTTTCCATTTCCTGGATATGACGATTCTGAACAGTTTCATCCTGTTGTCATCCTGTGGCACAAAATTGTCACACAGAGAATTTCGTCTCGCCCTTGTGTGCAACATGCTGGTACATGCTGCAAGGGGTCCATCTCGCCCTCAACAGTCCATGGGTCGACCTCCTGCTGTGTCATCGGCGATATCTCGATTAGAGGAGGCCTCTCGACATCACTGGCCGACTTCCTCTACTTCGAGATTGAGATGTCGTGTGTGCTCTTGGCATAGGAAACGAAGTTACATCCAGACAAAACGCGTGAAGTGCGACATTGGACTCTGCATTTCCGGATGTTTCCAACAGTTCCACATGAAGGCAACATTCAGTTAGATGACGCAGGAGGGAAGACAGTCTACTTATAAAGCTGGTGTCCAAAAATAATATAAGTAGAACGAGAATTTCTATCTTAAAATTATATTTTAAAACACTGTGCACACGCGTGGACTACGAGTGACCATACGGTGTCGTTCGGCCACTCAGCTTTACTTTAAAGGTCCCCATACGGCGTCTTTCGACTCATAAAGGTTACTTCAGCAGTGGAAGCTAATGATTAGTTGAGTGTAATCACTGAAACTGATCAACAGCTTATAAACATAATTCAGCAGCATCATATGCTTTTTTGCTGTACATTATCTGTGCTCTTCTGCCATTACATGTGAGTAAATTCGTTG